CCGGTTGCGGAACCTGTGATAACGATGCTACCCCCCTCTTCTTGTCGCCGTAGGTGGAAAATCGCCAGAGCAGCGGTGTTGACGACACCCTTGAGACTGACGTCGAAAAGCTGGCCTGACGGCTCAACCGCATCGCCGTTTTCGTCAAGCTGCATAGACAAGTAATCGGCTCGTGGGCCAATGCCGGCATTGACAAAGACATGATCGATATGGCCATATATATTCTTTGTCCCGTTGAATAATGCGAGTAATTCTTTCCATATAGAAACATCCGTCTGGATGAACGTATATGCACCTTCCATTTCTTTCTCAGGAGCTTGCACGTCACCGCAGACTACCAAGGCTCCAAGGGACAACAGAAGCTCGACAGTGGCAAGGCCTATACCAGAAGAACCTCCTATTAAAGAGAGATTAGTAATAAGCCGAGTTTGTCTTCACGCCAGGATACATGTTAATGATTGATGGTTGAAAGGTATTGCCACATACCTGTGACAATGATCACCTTGCCCTCTAGGGAGGTCAAGTCCTTGTCTTCAATGGTGAACTCAGTCATACTTCTAGAGGAGATCTTTTTGATTGCACTGGAGAAGGAAATTGCAGGCCGTGATGATATAATCTCCAGTTCATGGAGTGACAATCAAATGATATATAAGTACAGAACTGATGCGAGGCTCCTAGGAAGAGGGGCACATCGTCGATGGGGAATTGAGGTCACCCTGGCCCACTATTTCGTCGCCTGTTAGCCTTTGTCCTCGAAGTAGAATGTTGCTCGGGAATCTCTATTCTGTGGGGAGCTCACATGAAACAGAACTACCCTAGGAATTGAACGATGAAGTGAATTTCATGTTCATTGCCAGCCGCATACACCATCCCTTTTCATTCTAGCAAATTTGAAACCCTTTGTTCGGAAACCAGAACAAGAACACGCTCACCCGCCATCCCCGCCATCCCCGCCATCCCGGAACATTCACATGGACGAACATCGCCACTAAATCTGTATCTGCGTAACAGCAGCAGCATTAACCAGGCATGGCCATGTGGACAACCACAACCGCATCGGACACAACCAAACCAAGCCAGTCACATCATGATAATACAGGAGAATATTCGTTGCATTTCTGCCTCATATTCTGCCCCTTGCATCCATAGTCCTCTTGCCCCACGATGAGTAAACGGATGCTTGCCGTCTTTCATTTGTAATGATCATAAACATAATCTAGGTAAGACGGAACTTTACGATAAACAATAACATGAACTGACCTTCCAAAATATTTATTGACTATATGCTATATTACTCGCACGATGGTTTATCGATGCCTGGACGTCGCGACTCCTTCTACCATTATGGCCTAGAGATGGCAGTGGTGAATTCGGCACCAGCTAAGTTTAGTGGCAATTCGGATCGGATTACAGAAGCCAACTACTGGATCTTGGTTCATTTTCTGTAAGTCTTCATACTTTGGGCATCTCCACCTCACATCCAGTGCTTTTCCCCTCCTTGCTGTGCGGTCACGAAGGAGCCAGGGTCTAAATCGACGGATTTGGTTCGGCAGGCTTCGTGGTATGGTGGTGGGAGGTCCTTCTTCTCGAGCCGACAAGAGCACCATGGGCCCCCATCACGTAGGTTATGGGATTTGTCCCACCTCAGACATGCGATAACGCCTGTTATATTC